AGAAGAACTGTAGGAGGGTTGTAGGACTGTTGTATTGGAGATTATGTATCGGAATTTAAGGAGCAGGACCACGCCTCCAAACACGCTCCTTCCGTATAGGTTTCCCCAGTTCTGCAAGCTGATCATTCTCGTTTACGTGCAAACAGGGTCCATTCTTGGCGGTTTCCTTTAAACACAGCATTCTCACAGGAGTAACATAATTTTACTCACCCTTCCATTCGCTACAATTGTCCTCTTGTCTGTCAGCGCATCAGATGAACAACTACTCAAGCTCTTCGTCCATCGCTTTTCCTCCGGCAATCCAAGAAACACACCGAACGCCACGGCTCAAGACCGAATGCTGATGATCCTCTAGCAGTTTTCTCGCCACCCGACATATGGTCTGCCACGTCGATCCATCCAGTCTTCATATCTCGGCTAAATTCAGTTATGAGGTAACGCCAGTTCTATATCCCTCCGTAGCAAATTCAGTACAGAGTTGCCAGGTTCCCAGCCTTTTCCCTTCTTGACAAAATTCTGCACGTAACCTCAGCACCGAGTTGCCAGGTTCCTTTATCCTCATTCGCAAAAGCAGCAGCAAGCAGCAGAGTTGCCAGTACTCCACCCCTCCGTAGTGAATGCAGCATGCTTTGGCACCGAGTTGCCAGGTTCCCAGCCCCTCATCCCTGCTTCACAAAATTCTGCAGCAAACCTTGGCACCGGGTTGCTAGGCTCTTAGTCACTCATCCCTCCTTCGCAAATTCTGCTGTTAACCTCAGCACCGAGTTGCCAGGTTTCCAGCCTCTCATCCCTCCTTGGCTAAACTCTGCAGCATACGTTCACTCATCCTTCCTCTGCTAAACTCTGCAGCAAGCGTCTGCACCGAGTTGTCAGGTTTCCAGCCACTCATCTCTCCTTCGCAAAATTCTGTAGCAAACCTTGGCACTGGGTTGCCAGGCTCCTTTATCCCTCATTCGCAAAAGAAACAGCAAGCTTTTCTGCCATTGGGTTGCCAGTTCTCAGCGTAGACAAAATTAATTAATTAATGAATTTAATTAAACGGCCCCGGGTTGCCAGGTTTTCCTTCATCACCATTAGCAATGCAGCATCTAGCTTTCCAACTAATGAACTGCCAGTTTCTCTGCATCCATCATGGCAAAAAGCAGCATTAATCCTTCTAGCCCCGATACCAAGTTCTCAATTCTCATTTGCAAAATAGCCAGTTTCTTTGCATGGGGAAAAAAAGGCACTGAGTTGCCAGGTTTGTCCTTTAACCCTTATTTACAAAAGCAGCCGCAAGCCTTCTACCAACGCCTTGCTGGTTTCCTTTGCCGGTCCTTCCCTCATATCCAATCGCACCAGCAAACTTTTCTATGAATGAGTCACCAGTTTCCCTTTCCCGTATCCCATATTGGCAAAATGCAGCAGCATGCTTTTGGCACCGGGATGCCAGGTTCTCTTCCTCTATCACTCCTATGCAAATACAGTAGCAAGCTTTGGCACAGAGATGCCAGCCTCTCTCCCTCTATCCCTCCTATCCTAATACAGTAGCAAGCTTTGGCACCGGGATGTCAGCTTCTCTTCCTCTATCCCTCCTATGCAAACACATTAGCAAGCTTTGGCACCAGGATGCCAGCTTCTTATCCTCTATCCCTCCAATGCAAATACAGTAGCAAGATAAAGAAGAACCAGGCGCCGAGTTGCCTGGTTCTTCTTTATCCCTCACTCGCATACTCAGGAGCAAACTTTCTAATACAGAGTTGCCAGTTTCACTGCATTTATCACAGCAAAAGCAGCAGTGAATCCTTCTACCCCTGGGACGCCAGCTTCTCCGCATCTAGCCCTTATATGCTAAGCAGCAGATGTTCCTTTCAGCACCAAAATGCCAGGTTCGCTGTCTCTATTCCTCATTTGCAAATGCAGAAAACGTTCTTTGCACCGAGATGCCAGGTTCTGTTCCCTAAGTAGCTTACCTTTCTGTTAGTGGATTGGCAGCTTCCGCCATCAATCACTCGCAAAAAACCCAAAACATTCCTTTCACCAGGATGCCAGTTTCTCTCTTTACATCCAGTCTTCCACAAGACGTAGCAGCAAACTGTTCCGGCACAGAGAACCATCTGTCATCTTTCCTGCCTTTGCAAAGCACTGATGAACTTTCGTAGCACTGGGATGCCAGATTCTTTCCTCTATCGCCCCTTTTAAGACATCCAAACTGTGCCATGCGCATAATTCTTCACGACATCCCTTTACTTCTCACGTGCTTTCGCAAGCATTATCTAGCATCCACCCTCGACACAATCATTCAAGACTATGTCTAAACAGCTCATCATCTCCCACGAAGTTCAGTGGACTCGCCCTCTGCTCTCTGACAATTTTTGGAGTTATTATTATAGAAGACGACTTTCCTCTAATCAGTCATTCAATTCATCAACCCTTCCCAAGCTGCCGCTTTCACTTCTGTTCATTTCAGAAATAAGCACAGTAGTTATCACTACCTTATCTGAAGTAATTAACCAGCTAAGCACCCCCTCTCCATCTTCTGCTTGTCCGAGCTGATCCACTCCACTCCATGGAATCTTTGACTACCTTATTGAGCGCTGTTCAGCTTTGCTAGCCTGCTACCAGTTATTTTCCTCTTCTTTGGGTGGCGAGGCCACTCGGCGTTCGCTCTCCCTACACTTGCCTCTGTCCTGTTCTCCTTCTCTCACCCCAACCGGTCACGGCAGTTGGCTGCCCCTCCCTGAGCCTAGATCTGCCAGAGGTTTCTTCCTGTTAAAAGGAAGTTTTTCCTTCCCACCATCGCCAAAGCGCTTGCTCAGAGGGGGTCATACAATTGTTGGGTTTTTCCTCCAGACATCATTGTAGGGTCTCGAGGCATCTGTCACCATGGTTCGGTAGCATATAAATAAGTTGAATTGAAAATCTAATTATTCTCGCTGAGGTCGTCGACCCTCGTAATGCACAGTTGTTACCATTTTCAGGGGATGCCTTCTTTGGGGATCTGCCAGGCCCAGGAGCCATCGCCAGTCCCCTTTGAGACCTTCCACAAAGCGCAGCTCAATTCATGTCAAAGCATTCACTTTTACCTACTAAAACGCTGTCAAACCTAAAATGAGGACATAGGCCCAGCTAGTGAATTGGAGATTATGTATCGGAATTTCCGGAGCAGGACCACGCCTCCAAACATGCTCCTTCCAGCTGTCATCTATATAGGTTCCCCCAGTTCTGCAAGCTGATCATTCTCGTTTACGTGCCCCACCCTCCCTCCTTCCTTGTTCTCCATTCTTTAACTTCTTCACTTCTATTTAGTACATGGGGATCTGCCAGGCCCGGGAACCATCGCCAGTCCCCTTTGAGGCCTTCCCCAAACTGCAGCTCAATTCATGTCAAAGCATTCACTTTTACCTACTAAAACGCTGTCAAACCTAAAATGAGGACATGGGCTGAGCTAGTGAATGATGGTAGTAGAATAGCTGTATAACAGCTATAGGACGGTTGTAGAATGGGTGTAGGATGGGTGTATAGCAGCTGTAGGACTGGTGTAGGAGGACTGTATGAGGGTTGTAGGAGGACTCTAGGACAGCTGTTGGATGGCTGTAGGATAACTGTAGTAGGGTTGTAGGACGTCTTGATGCATGCTCAATCATCCAGGTAAGTAAATCTCCAAAAGTTGATTCTGTTCACCTGGACGTAGCGTTTTGTGGGAGAAACGTTTCGTCACTCATCCAACTGACTTCTTCAGTCTCAGCTGACTCCAGGTTTCCCCAATCTTATAAACAGTACATTGCATGATGACTGAAACCAGCCCACTGAAGGAACAATGGGCCTGGAGGTCAGTTCCTTAATCTTAATTATGCAAATTCTCATGAGAATTGATCAACAACCACTGACCAAAACCCACTGATCAAAGCCCACTGATCAATGGCCATGAGTACCATTCACAGAGAGTTGGGGAATGGCTGCAATCACTGCATTGTAAGATGGCGAAAGATGTACCCTTAGGCACCCTCCTCGATTCAGAGATGGTTTTTCCCTTTTCACGTAAATGGCCTCCTTGACACCGCACTCAACCAGCGTTCCTCCTTGTCCAAGATGTGTACCTCCTCATCATTGAAAAAGTGTCCACTGGCCTGTAGGTGTAAATAGACTGCAGAGTCCTGGCCTGATGAGGTAGCTCTTCTGTGTTGTGCCATCCGCTTCACCAGAGGTTGTTTGGTTTTCCCGATGTATAAATCCTGGCAATCCTCCTGGCACTTAACAGTGTACACCATGTTACTCTGTTTGTGTTGGGGAACCCAATCCTTGGGGTGGACCAATTTTTGGCACAGCGTGTTTTGGGTTTTAAAAGCCACAGAGACCCGGTGTTTAGAAAAAATGCATCTCAACTGCTCCGATACTCCTGACACATACGGGATTACTGCGGGTTTTCGCTTAGGCCGCGGTTGTCCTTCTCTCCTGGATCGGCTGGAGCTTTCTTTTGGCGCCTTCCCAGCTTTGACAAAAGTCCAGCTGGGATAACCACATTTACTCAGGGCCTTCTTGATGTGCTTTTCTTCAGCTTCCCTGGCTGCTGTGTCTGTGGTGATGGTGTTCGCTCTGTGTTGTTCACTCAGTGTTGTAAAGATTAAGGAACTGACCTCCCAGGTCAGTGTTCCTTCAGTGGGCTGGTTTCATTTATTATGCAATGTACTGTTTATAAGATTGGGGAAACCTGCAATCAGCTGAGACACTTGGATGAGTGACGAAATGTTTCTTCCACAAAATGCTACAACCAGATGAATAGAATCAACTTTTGGAGGGTTGTAGGACAGTTGTAGGAGGACTGTAGGACTTCTCTAAGATGGCTCTAGGAGACTTGTAAGAAGGTTGTAGGAGGGCTCGGGTGGAGAAAGGCCTTTTTTTTCTGGTTTATTTTGTCACGCTCTGTGGAAGCACCAAACTGCTCTACTCTTGACTCCACCCACCCAGAGCTGCATGTGTGTGCTCATCAAAAAAAAAAAAACCTTTCTCTGTCTGTCCAGCTCATGGGGGAAGAGTTCATCCACGCAATCCATCCGGTCCTGCAGGAGCGCTGGACTTCAGACCTGGAGGAGGCCTGGAAGGTAAACAGAGGTGACGTTTACGGATTCTTCAGAGCAAGCAGAGAAAAGTTAACCTCATCATACAGATGATGATTAAACATGCAATTTATTGCTTCAAGAACCTGAACATATAAACAACCAGAGGAGAATCAGATGTGATCTCTGCTGAAGCCTGAAGCTGACGGTGGCCTAAAAAAAACTGCAAATCAGAATGAAGAGCCTGTTTTCTTTTCATTGGCCAACTTCTGAAAGCCTGTAGAGGGGCTGTCTGTATCTGTCATGAAAGAAGAGAAAGACATTTTAAATAGGGCAGGCTTTACATTCAGTCCACAGTGTTCTCAGTCAGGCTCTGGACTTGTTCTGTCCAGTTCCTTTTCAGTTGATTCACTTGGTACAACACATAATTATGGGATATCATGCCCTCGCGTGTCCTGGCTGAAGAAACCTTTATTCACACCTTTAAGGCAGATGACGTGTGATGACACGCGCACGGCCCCGCCTGCACATGTAGCCGCTGTCATCACAGTCATCCCTCAGTTCTTACGCTCTTCACCTCGCTGAGAACACCTCTGCTGAGTTGGGCTAGCTAGCTGCTGCTAGTTAGCTCCGTTGTCTGCCGACTTGAACTTAGCTTAACTGCCCCTGTTGATGTTAGCCTCCACCGCGCAGTTGGTGTGTAGGCTGCCCGCGGAGCGCTAATTTCAAGTTTTTCCTGTGCAGCGTTTTGCTTTGCGTTTTGGAATGGACTCCAAACCGAAGTGAGCAAAGCAGAAATCTTCTGTTCGCCCCTGTCCTCAGGGATGCGCTTTCTCTTTGCACGACAGCGACCAGCACGATGCCTGCCCTGTCTGCCTGGGTCCATGCTAGGAGAGCGTTGATGGAGCCCGAAGCCTGTGCATTTTGCCGCCAGCTCCAGCGCTCGACCCAAGAAAGACGGGTGACGTTTGTGGAAAAAGTGCTGGGACGCTCGGCTGTCGCACGGCATGACCATCTCCTTTCCGAGTCTGGAGCCCCGGCTTCGTCCGAGTCCGAAGACGAGGATTTTCCGGTCGACGTCCCCGCAATTAGCTGGGCTGACCACATGAAATATGTTGACGGGTTAGCCAATGACGAGCCGGAACCATGCAGGAACGCTGACGGGCTTCAGCCTGTGTTGAAGCCCACCAGTGCTCCCCAGGAAGACGATGACGTGCTGGACATCAGCCTGGACATCCATGGATTGTCGGAGGATGAGCAGGAGAGCTTATTGTCGGCCCAATGTGCCGCCGCTGCTGCGCCGGTTGGCCACGATGACACGTCTCTTTTCTCCCTGTTTCGCCGTGCTCCTGAGAAGCTGCAGCTGGACTGGCCCTCTCCTCCGCCAGCTCAGAAGCCGTTGCGGTTCGCGGGGTTTTTCCTCCCAACGGAGCCCGCAACGGCCAGAAACTGCCTTCCCATGTTCCCAGACTTTCTCTGCGAGCTAACAGCATCATGGGACAAACCTCTGTCTACCCACGTCACTGTGCCCGGCTATGGACAGTACATGGAATTGGATGGCACCGAGGGGGCTGGCTTAGCTAACCCACCCCCTATGGAGCCATCTCTGGCTGCTTATCTGGCCCCATCCCATAACGATGGTGTCGGCGGCCCTGCAACTCTGCCGTACAAGCACTGCAGATTCTCTGCTTCGCAGCTGGAGAAGATTTATCGAGCTCAGGCTGGCACTGCTTGCGCCATGAGCTCCGTCACCATGCTCCAGACGTACCAGGCAATGTGCCTGGCAGAGCTCAGATCGCTGGTTCCTGATGACAGCCCGCTGGCACCTCTTCTTAACGAGGTCAGAGTCGCCACAGATTACATCCTCCATGCGTCTCGCTGTGCAGCGCTCTCCCTGGGCAGAGGGATGGCTTCGACAGTAGTGTCACAGAGGCACCTGTGGCTGACCCTCTCTGACGTCCCGGATAGGGACAGAGCTGTATATCCGGACACACCAGTGTCTGCGGCTGGGTTATTTGGACATTCACTTGAAGCCATACAGGCTAGATTCGATCTGACGAAGAAGCAGATGGAAGCTCTGCGCGACATCATCCCCAGACGTCAGCCCAAGCCCAAGCCCGCAGCTAGCTCTCACAGGCCCGCCGCTCCTCTGCTGACTGGCAAGAGACTAGCGCCCACTGCTCAAGTGGGTGAGCCGCCAGCGAGAGCACATCCTCCGGCCCGAGCTCCACGCCAGTCGGCCTGGAGCAAAGGCCCACCCTCGGGCCTTCAATGGGACCCGACGCCCAGGAGGAAGAAGCCTCAGCCCTCCTAGCTGTGGTTTCGAGTGGAGAAGGGGTCCAGCAGCAGGGAGACGCTGCTTTTACCCCTCTGTTGCCGCCCAAGAGGTGCCGCTTAAGTTTTGTTCAGGTTGTCAGCCCCAGAAGGCGCTGCACTTTCCTAACACTGTCTCCCAAGCACAAAACCCCTGCACACAAAATGCCTCAGGTAACTCCCTGTTCAGGTGTGTTAAATGTTCAGGTGACCACATCGAGTGTTCCCGCTGTTTTTCATTGTTGTGCCCCAGAAAAGGTGCCTCCAACAAAATGTATGAATGTACATGTTTCCATGTTACAATCACTAAAGAGTGTTGTTTATTCTCAAACAATCACAAATGCTGAGCCTGCAGGCAGAATGAGCCAGGTCATGCAGGTGATGCAGTCCCCTGCAGACACACTGGGGGGCGACAACGCCCCGCCGACAGTGCTGCAGGTCAGCCGGCTGGCTGCTCACTTCCCTCAGTGGCGCGCTTGCGCCCCCTCTCTACAACCGTGGGTTCTGCGAACTGTTGCCATGGGTTACCGGTTGCAGTTCCGGGTCAAGCTACCTCGTTTCCAAAGAGTCATAAACACGACTGTCAACACCGAGGCGGCCATGATACTCAGAGAGGAAATAAAGGCGCTATTGCAGAAAAGAGCAATACGAGTGGTCCCCGCTTCGGAGACAGACAAAGGTTGGTACAGCCATTATTTTGTTGTTCCGAAAAAAAGGGGGAGGGCTTCATCCGTGCCCACAGCTGTTAGGAGGGAATGTCTGCTTCTTACCCTCCGAACTCGTACATGGCAGTAGCAGTGGACTTTCACAGGGCTGCGCATTTATCTGGTTATTAGAATTGTCGGTCACTTTTCTAATACAAAAACTGTAGCTTCTCCCACTGAAGGACTTCAAATCGGCTCCAGCTCTTCTCTCAGCCCGCGGTACTTCTCTCTGTTTGACATCACCGTTAGGTGGAATTGCCACACTCATCACAGTGGTGATGAATGTGGCAATTCCAGTAAACAGTTGCACTCTTATGTGTCTCTCTGCAACGTCCTCCCCCCACTCCTCCCCCTGTCTGCTCTCAGACCACCGAAAAACAAAGAAACAGCAAGAAATGAATTAAGCAGAAAAAATTAACAAAGAAAAGTTTAATCTTTAATCTGTTGTTACCTGTTGTCCACCTGGCCCTTAATTACTAGCATTTAAACGTTATGAAAAAGGGAAATACATTTCATCATTTACTCTGGAGAAATAGTTTACTGCTTTATAAGAAAGCTCTCCGTGAAGCTAGAACATATTGCTATTCATCACTGATTGAAGAAAATAAGAACAACCCTAGGTTTTTCTTAGGCACTGTAGCCAGGCTGACAAACAGTCAGAGCACTGTTGAGCCAACCATTCCTTCTCACAAGCCAACCAGTCGCTGCAGATGGTCGCCCCTCCCCGAACCTGGTTCTGCTGTTGGTTTGTTCCTGTTAAAAGGAAGTTTTTCCTTTTCACTGTCACCAAAATGCTTGCTCATAGGGGGTCATATGACTGTAAGGTCTAACTTAAAATATAAAGCACCTTGAGGTGACTGCTGTTGTGATTTGGCGCTGTATAATTAAAATTAAATTTGTCTTTTCTTTGCCACAGGACCTTAGCCCTGATGTTCTATGTTTTAGCTCTACTTTTTGGCTTGTTGTGCTGAACTGTCTCCGGGTCACCTTTGTGCTGCCTGCAAAGATGGATAGAGCAGTGATAACATCACCATGCTGGCAACAAAGACAGCCTGGCTGTGACGAGCTTCCTCTGATCTGACCTCTGCTTTCTGAGAAAATGAAAGAAACTCGTGGAAATAAAGAAACAGAAAATTAACTGTTAATATTCCAGAGAGTTTTGCATAAATGAAGATGTCAGTTTGTTGGAATGACTTCAGCTGATGATTGGACTGTAAATATCAGCAGCAGGTTTAACGCTGTCCTCTCAAACCTGCTGTAACAGGACCCGGGGTCCGTTCTTCGTACCTCGCTAAGTAAGTTAGCTGGATTTGAATGTTGACGACTTCGCGTGATCTTGGATCGTTCGGTTCTCCGAAGCTCATCCGGGACTTGCTGTCATAGCAACAGATCCGTAAGCGTAAACCTGCTCGGGAGCAGGCTTACTTTA